ACACCCCCCCCCCCGTCACGACGACGGCCGTCCCGGCTACTGGCCTCCCCAACCGTCGCGCCCTCCTCGGTCCCCTGCGGCACCGCGCGCGGACCTCTCTACCCGAATTTCGCTGGGCCCAGCGGGAGCGTCACGCGCGGACCGCTTTTTCCTTTAAGGTATATATATGTATAGTATAAGAAAAGAGATAAGAGAAGATACTTTAAGCCCTTTTATCTATTCTGTGTCCTGTCCTAAGTCAGTGCCTTGTGCAATTCATTTTTCCTTTTCCGGTACGTGCAGAGATAGCACCAAAAGTTTCCCAGTCAGAGCAAAAAAAAACCTGTTGGATGTTTCAGACCACCTGCCCCCCCCTCTCCTCCTTTTCCATCCAACTGTGCAGTTTTGCTGTATTGGCACTCCACTCTTTGCACCGGTGCTTAAAGAAAAAAAATAAACGATTTTATTATTTTTTAACTTTCAAGTGCAGCTTTGAAAGGTAACAATTTACTAACAACCCCCCTCTCAGAGGGGTAAAACCGTAAAACCATAAAAGTTATATTCTCCACCATCCCCCCTCCAGCGGGCATTTTTTATTTTTTGAACGAAATTGAAACCGACTAATTTGGCAAGAATCTGCCTGAGCCAGGTTGAAATTTTGTCAAAATTCAGGGTCCGGCGTTGTCAAAACGCCAGACCCCCTGGACTTCAGCAAAGTCTAGATACATCCAGGGGGTCTGGCGTTCTTAAAATGCTGGACCCCCTGGACTCCAGCTAGGTCCAAACACATCCTGGGGGTCCGGCATTTTAAGAACGCCGGACCCTCAAATTCGTCAAATTTCGTCCTGGCTCGCGCGGATTCGGGCCAAATGAGTCTGTTTCAATTTCATTCAAAAAATAAAAAATGTCCGTTTTGACGAAATCTCTGTTTTTTGGCATTTTAAAGTCAAATCACACATACGATGTGATTCTCCTTTAAGTCCTTTTAAGTTGGAGGTGGCGGTGAGCTGTAACTGACCGCCCATCGTCCGTTCCTAACGGTCAATTGACGAACTTCAAGATGAAGATTGTCTTACGAAGATGAAGATGGTCTGCCGAAAACGAAAAAGTTCAACCCCGTCGTGTAAGTGGGACCTTAAAGTTCCCCCCTTGAACCCCGTATTTAGCCTTCAAAAAGATCGGAAATTCTGACGGATGGACCCACCAACCAACCTTCCCTTGGACCGTATTTAGAATTATTTAGCCTACAAAAAGATCAGAAATTCCGAAACGGATGGACCCACCCACCAACCAACCGACAGACGGACCGACCGACTGACCGACTGACCCCTTGAACTGTAGTTGGCCTGTGAAAAGATAAGAAAATCCAACGGATGGACCCACCGACCAAACAACGACTGACCGACCGACCGACAAAGAGAGATACGAACCAAGAGATGGATGGGCCCAGGGGATGGACCAACGGGATGGCGGAAGAGGGGATTCGAACCCCCGACATGCCAATTCTGATTCCGCTGTTTTTTTCCTTCTAACCACTTGACATTTCCCCTGGACCCTGGTGGGGTTTGTTTTTCCAAGGCTACCCCACCCAAAACAGTCAGAAAGATATAACAAGAAAATTTAGCTCAGTTGGTACATACTACATACCCAGGAACTGTTGAAATACAGACCGAGGTCTGGACCGGTCTGGACCGGTCCGGACTGTCCGGTGATCCGGATATCACCAGACACCCGGACAATGCGGACCGGTGCCAGGGGGTACAAAATGTCCGGACCCAAAAAAAAAAACACAGGGGGGGGAAGTTGGGTGGGGCTGTTGGCAGGCACTTACCTGCTTTGCACTTTGTAGTTCAGGCAGCAGAGCACCTGTCTTGCAGCAAATCAACAAGCACATTCAACTAGCAGACATGCAGACTTGCAAACAGTGCAAAGCAGGCACAAGACTAAAGAAACAGATATTTTTTTTTTGAAAAAAGTATGATTAACTTTGCACTTTGAACTTTGGATTTAGTAATTTGAGTTCATAAATTCATATATAACTTRAAAGTTCGAACTTTGCAGTTCAATTCAGAATGTCAGAGTCTTCAGACTGGCAGCACTGTCAGTGCTCTCTCTCTCTCTCTCTCTCTCTCTCTCTCTCTCTCTCTCTCTCCAACGGGCAGCAGCAGCGGGCGGCACGTCGAAACGGCCACTTTGAAATTGCTCGGGCCTGTGAGAAACCTGCCACCCAAAAAGCCTGCAGTGTCTTGTGTCCGGACCTCTAGGCCCTGTCCGGTGGGGTGAAACGACACTGAAAAATCACCCCGTTATTTTTCTAGGGGCGGCCAGGACCCGAAAAACGTCCTGGGCCGCCCCGTTTTTTTTTTCGACTTTTGCCCCCGGGGCCTCCATCCAGACATAAGGACCGGACACCGGACACCGGACATGTTGTTCGGGACTGTCTGGAACCCGGTCTGGACGTCCGGACGGTTACCATGATATTTTATCAGAGTTTTTCCTCAAAAAAAAAAAAAAAAGGATATATACAGCATGGAGGTTCTGGTTCCATAGGGATTCAAATATATTTAGCTGGGTAGGCCTGGATACTTTAGTTACTTTCCCGCTACCCATCCCATCAGGGGCTTTTGTCTTCCAATGGTTATGGGTTATGGTTATCTTTGCTTTGCTGTCTTGCTGTGTTTCCTCCTTATGCTTGCCGGGGATAAGTACTAACCGGAAATGGCGCCCTCCCAGAATAAAAAGGGGGCCGTGTGTATTTTTGAAAAAAAAAACAAAAAGGAGACCTCAAAGAACAGCAAGAACAGAATGCACTCCCCGTTGCCCCATAATTGAGTTGATGCGAGCTTGTGAGGACTCACCCGTTGCGCCATGCGTGGTGAAGAATTCCACTTCCCATGAACAGGCTGAGGACCGCAAGGAACAGATTGTGGACCAGCACAAGGGCGCGGAGCAACCACGGGTCCTTCGGCTTTGGTTTGGCACCAGCGTGTTTCATCAGCCTCACGGCAACGACCACGACCAAAATGTACAAAAGAACCAAGAGGACCACCCCAGTGGGGCTGCTCACCAGGGGTAGGTCCTTGGTGATCGGGCTCGGCCGATTAATATCCAGACCCATTGCCTCCAGCGAGCGGAAGACCGTTCTGGAGACCAGCTCGTCGACTCGCTGGACCAAGCCAGCTCCTCCCAGCTGATCGACCCCTATGCTGCTCACAGCTTTCACAGCATCTGCCACAGTGGATGCGGAGGGGGAATTGTCGAAAGTAGTGGAAAGCTTGCATGCCGATGACACGTCACTGCACGACCCGTTGGGAGCCCAATCCGTACAACACTCGGCGTCCGCCACCAAGTCGTAATCCCTCGTCGACGATACCGCTACAGACACAGACTGGTTGGACGATCCAATCGCAAGGTTCATCAGCCCATCCAGGCCATGAATCAAGGACTCAACCAAGTGTGAACCAAGAAAGCGACCAGAGGCAGCGCTGGTGCTGTCGTTAGCTGTCGTGTGCCGGGCTAGGGACTCCCTGAACCAGTAGTAGGGCAGCGCTCCACTCGTAGTGCCAGGCGCCATAGCTGCCGTGTCCATCCTTGCTGGCCGAGAAAGTTGTTTTCGTCAAGTTACCACAACAAGCTAGCTATGGCTATATCACTGTAGCTTGGTCTTGCGCACTCCTGTGGTGCTGCTTCGGCATTTCACCTTGTCAACGCCGTCCCTCCCTCCTCTCTCCTCCTCAACTCATACTGCCATTGCGGTACTATTCAGCATGACGGTCGTTGCACGAAGTGGAGGGTGGAGGCTAGATACCCTTCCTTCTTCAACCACGCAGCCCTTGAGGACATCCATGGAGACACAGAACCAACATTCTGATCAGAATGTTGGTTTTCCAACCGGAAACGTCAATGGTTTAATCATCATCGTCGCTCAGTCCAGTCCACAAGAGATACATGCAAACAATGTCATGCCGAATTCTGATGCTTGGCCTGGCAAAGGTACTTGTCTACCGGAAGGTGCTCATACCACCCCCGATCGTACCCCGCGCTCTGTTTTCAAAAAGAAAAAAAAAAAGAAAAAAAAAAAAGAAGAAAAAGAAAGAAGAAAAAAAAAGAAAAGAAGAAGAAGAAGAAAAAGAACAGCAAAAAAAAAAGAAGCAAAAAGAATTCTGATCGTGGGAGCAAAACTGTGCTGCAAAAGCCCTCCTATTAGAGGGAGAGACACAAGTAAACTTGCAATCAATTGTCACAAATTTGAAATTTCATTGCCAACTTTGGTCATGCTCATGTTATCAACTCACACCCCTCCCCCACCCTTTTTTTCTTTCTTTCCTTTTTTTTTTTAAGTGGGAGCAAAAGCCACTTTTTTTTTCTTTTTTTTTTTAAGAATTCTCAGGAAAGGCCGTAGTCGACTCTGCAAATTTTACAAGCCGAGAACCAGGCTCGGCATCCCTTAACAATGTGGTTGTGCTCCCCTCGTGGGACGACATCACTGGCCGAACCCAGAGGGGATATCATCATATCACATTGACCCCATCGAGACAATCCTTCCAAAAACTAAGAGAAAAAGAACAGCAAATACAGTAGTCTGAAGAAGAAGGAAACGTAAATGCTACCAAAAATCAGGAAGCAAAACAATTCATATGAGAATGCAGTAGTCTGAAGAAGAGGGAGACATAGGGCCTTGCTCCACTCCACAACACTGTACATGCATTTAAATGCCTTCTAGACCGGGTGCATTCGAAGTTTTGGACTCATCCCAATGCACCTGGCCCAGATAGCGTCCAGATGCATGCAGAGTGTTGTGTAGTGGAGCGAGGGCCTATGAATATTGTCAACCAGAGCTCAGATTCTTGACAGCAATCCGGGCAAGACTGGATGCCTCAGATGAAGAACCCAGAGACCAGCAGGCTGGGCAGTTGTCATGATGCATCCGCACAGTCACCAAGTCCCGACAGCGGTAAAAGCGAGCCAGATATTTCCTGATCGCTCTTGGCTGAAACCCCCCGTTTTGTACTGTCAGCAACCAATCTGTGGAAAGCATCAACTTTATAGCATATTTCACCTCTGCACGCACCATCGGGTGGGTAAGTCTCTCCCCTCTGTATTTTGCCGAATTCCTGAGGTTCCATAGGGTCCACAGAATCACCCCCCGAAGGGACTCTTCCGAATATGCGAGAGCAGTGTCCAGCTTTTCATGCCTGGCGGCGACCCCTAGGAGCACAAAGTCATCCGGCCACCGTGTCGTGGCTCCAGGGATAGGCACTGCACCATATCTCCACCAGTCCCATAAGCCATCCACGTATTCACACTGCAGGCAGAGGTGTTGTACATCTTCTATTCTTGTTCCGGAACAGACAACACACAAAGGTGTGGCTTTAGAGGTTCTAGCTGCAGATGCATGATCAGGCACAAAAAACTGGAATATTTCACCACCGGCAGGTCCATGAACAATTTCCAAAAAACAGGCAGCGCTTGCATGAGTCGTTGGAGGGAGTCTGCTATCCAACCTGTTGCCATCCATCGTTTAGCAACTTTCCAACTCACATCCACGACGAGTCTTGTCAACTGATACCCCATTCGCGTGGCGTAGCGAGGAAGAGGAGTTTTCTTGTTTCGCAAAGGGTAATGGTGCCACTCCCAGTCCCGAGGGTCCACCGGGAGATTATAAGACGGGAGAGCCAATGAGAAGGGGCGCAAGTCTTCGCTACAATCCAAGACAAAGACAGGTGACAAGGAAGCAAATGCTGACAGTCTGAGAGGGTTGTGCTGATACGTCTCAGCAAGTGGCAGTCCCAAAGAGCACGGGGCCCAATCAGTTGACCATGAGGTCACCTGCAGGTGAGAGGCATCAGCCACAGCCTCTAATCTCCAGAGCACAGCAAGCAAGAGGTCATCAATCCGTTTGTACCATCCTCCAGTTAGGGGACAAGACCAATGCGGAGTAATTTGACCATGAGGTCGCCTACCGGTGAGAGGCATCAGCCACAGCCTCTAATCTCCCGAGCACAGCAGGCAAGAGGTCATCAATCCGTTTGTACCATCCTCCAGTTCAGGGGACAAGACCAATGCGGAGCAACTGCACCCAAGCGGGCGGCAGAGCTTGTTGCAGAGAGGCAAAGGTGAGCTTGCTATCTTTATTTCTTTAAAAGCAGTTCAAGATCCCAACTATCCGCAACAGTGCCCACTCCCCTTGAAATCCAAGCATTGCCGAATGGCCCGGTTCCGAAACACGCAAACGGGGTTCCTTCGGTCGTTAGTATTACCGGGTTATTAAAGAGAGGTTGGGCCAAAATTCGCTCAGCCTCCAAGGGAGGGCGGGCCAAACAAGGGAGTATAATTAATTACGAGTTATAATTGAAGGTAACCTGGGCCGACAAAGCATTGTTTCTAAGATTAATGGCTCAGTCCTACGCTCACTTCAAAGTTAAGTGCATATATATATATATATATATATA